GGGGGGGGGGGGCAGGGAATGTTGCAGGTCCCACTCCCGAGAGAGATACACCTGGTGGGACCCCGAAGAAGGGCCTCCTCCGTGGTGGCTCCCTCTCTCTGGAATATCATTTCCCAGAGATTAGACTGGCCCCCTGTCTAATACTCTTCTCCAGAAGGCACTGGAGACCTGGTTTTGCCAATGGGCCTGGGGAACCCGGAGAGGGATGGAGCCCATCAAATGGCTCGTGTGATCTGCGGTCGTCGGGGCGAGGGGTGGGAGTTGGTTTTTATTTTATTTTTTATTTTTCCCAAATTTTGTCCTGTTGTACTTTATTAATTTATTTGATTCTTTTTTGTTAGTTTTTGTTTTTTTTATTTTTTGTTTTAAATATGGTTTGACATTGTGTAAGCCGCCTCGAGTCGCCATGGGCAAATAGGCGGCAATATAAATTAAATAAATATACAAACAAACCAACAAACCGAGTCCCCTGCCCAGCATTTTCATTCCTTTTCCTGGGTGTGTGTGAGAGAAAGGGAGGGGACATCGCCCTCCCTCGACAGACATCCCTGCACACTGCCCAGAACCCTCCCAATGCACAGGAGCATCTGGGCAACTAGGGAGCAACTGGGATGGGGGCTGCTCTGTTGACATCCGGCCCTCCTGGAAATAAGCAGGACTTTTTTCTGCAGAAGTTGTGGGAGCTTCATCCCAGTAAACTTTTAAGAAGAGACTGGGCTGCCCTCTGTCAGGAATGGTATATAGGGTTTCCTGCTTGACAGGGGGTTGGACTAGAAGACCTCCAAGGTCCCTTCCGACTCAACTCTACTCTATTCCCCTGCTTCCCTTCTCCTCACAAATGGACTTGCACCATCTGGGAGCCTTCCTTTCACCACAGGAAGCCAACCCTCCAAATATCAACTCTGGCCCACTAGCTGGGGGGGCAGGGAAGGGTTAGGGAAGCATTGTAGGGTCCTGCAAGGATCTTCCATATTAGAAGCTGAAGGCCAAACATGGAAGAAGGGTCAAGGGGTTCTAAGTCTCCCTATCCTTTCCCTCACTTCCTCTGGGAAAAAGGAGCAATCTTCAGAAGGGTTTCTTGCCAGCCGCAGCTGTTTACTAATTACATCCTCCCCGATTGTTCAGATCCCCGAGTAACACTTCCTTCAGGAAAAGATCAAAGGGGCAACAGTACCACTCACCTCCCCACCCCACAAAGGATCAAGGAAGATGCCCGTCGCTCCCTCCCCCCCTGAGAATCTCCCACATGTTGTGCAAGTGAATTTACGACACTGCTTATGGGGGGGGGGGGGATATGGAATGCTGCCCATCAGAAAGATCCATCCGGGAATTTTCTCACAGACCGCTGACGAACCTTTTGCACGGTTTCTGGGATGGCTTGGATGGAAGAGTGGGAAAAAGGGAATCAAAAGAGGATGCAAGGAACGAAGCAATCCCACGGATTCTCCCTCCGCTCCTCTACAAGAGGAAGACATTGTCTTGGCTTCTGAACGTAGCCTTTTTTTTAGCTTTTGAATGTTGAATCCTGTATTCTAATATTTGAGGGGCTGCCACAAAGAAGAGTTGTCAAGCTGTTCTCCAAAGGACCAGAGGGCAGGACAAGAAGCAACAGATAAAAACTGATAAAGAGAGAGAAGCAACCTTGAATTGAGGAGAAACTTCTTCCTAACAGTGAGGACAATTAACCAGTGGAACAGTTTGCCACTGGAAATTGTGGGTGCTCCATCACTGGAGGTTTTGAAGAAGAGGCTGGACAGTCCCTTGTCTGAGGTGCTACAGGATCTCCTGCTTGAGCAGAAGGCTGGACTAAAAGACCTCTAAAGTGCCTTCCAGCTTCTATTCTGATTCTGTCTCTGGCTTCTTACCGAACAGGCTCTGCAAACAGTGATGTCCTGGCCCTTCATTGGAGGGAGGGGGCTTCTTATCCGCTCTGTGCTACAGGCAGTGTCATTTACGTTTCAGAGCTGGGTCCTCCATCAGCAGGAAGTAGGGGATATAAATGCAAATTATTGAAGCTTAATTGGAACAGGGGGGGGGGAGTGTGCAAAAGATGAGACCAAAGTGGAGCCAGTTGTCCGGCCATCTCCCAAAGGAGCCAGAAGAGCTTCCCTGCCTTAGCTCTGCACGTGATGGGAGGGGACCCCCTTTTCTTTCAAGCTTCAGGGTCAGAAAACATCGGGCATCAGACATGACACAGAACAGAAAAGAGAAAAATAGCTCCCTTAATTGCCAGATTGAGCCAATGTTTCCAATAGCTTAATGGGGAATGAATCTGAAGGCCTGAAAACTTTCCGTTGCAAGACGACAGAAGCAACGACAGGTTTATACTTTCTACAGGTCTTCCCTTCTCCTGCATTGCTCCCCAAGGCTCAAATCAGCCAGGATTCCCCCAGGGCAGCAAGCTCACACACAGGCAGGGGTCGGATGCTGCTGGTTCTACCCAGTTCTAAAGAACCAGTAGCTCTGAAGAGCAGCAGACACAGAACCAGCCCACCTACCCGGGCTCTTACCTGTCCTTTATTTCCTGCTTTTGCAACCTCAGGATTTTCTAACGCTGCCCACCTGCGGGCAGCGCTTTTCAGCTGTCCAGGAGGCACAGCCTAAGGTTATTTTACACGTGCGAACACCGTGTGTCAGGTGCGCCTGCGCGCAAAACGTAATCCCTGAACCAGTAGTAACGCCGGTTGAATCCCACCCCCGCACACATGTTGTTCAACTGTCCCAGACAACAATCCTAAGTTGCATTAACAGAGGGGTTCAATCAAGATCGCATGAGGTACTAGCACCGCTCTTACAAAGCCTTAAGTAAGACCTCACCTAGAATACTGCACCTAGTTTTGGTCACCACACTATAAAAAAAAAGAGATGTTGAGACTCTGGAAAGAGTGCAGAGAAGAGCATCCAGGATGATTAGGGGACTGGAGGCTGAAATATATGATGAATGGTTGCAGGAATTGGGTCTGGCTAGTCTAAAGAAAAGAAGAATTAAGGGGTGACATGATAGCAATATTGCAGTATTTGAGGGGCTGCCACAAAGAAGAGGGGGGTCAGATGATTCTCCAAAGCACCCGAAGGTAAGAGAAGAAACAATGGATGGAAACTGACCAAGGAAAAGAAGCAACCTGGAATTACAGAGAAACTTCCTAACAGCGAAGACAATTAACCAGTAGAACTGCTTGCCACCAGAAGTGCTGGGTGCTCCCGTCACTGGAGGCTTTTAAGAAGAGACTGGAGAACCATTTGTCTGAAATAGCATAAGGCTTCCTACTAGAGCAGGGGGCTGGACTAGAAGACCTCCAAGGCCCCCACTTGCAGCTCTATTCGGATTGACTGATTGACAGTGAGGACAATTAAGCGGGGCAACTTCCCCCCTTCAGAAGTTGTGGATGCTTCAACACCGGAGGCTTTTAAGAGACGGGACATGGGGTCTCTCCTACTCGAGCAGGGGGCTGGACTAGAAGACCTCCAAGGCCCCTTCCAGCTTCTATCCTGGGTTGATTCAGCGAAGTTGATTCCCCACCCAGGGGAAAAGCCCGGGCCGAGCCCCCTCCCCTTTTAAATCCCGCCGGCTGACGTTGAACCCCCCCCCCCCCCCCCCTTTATAATGGATCCAACGAAGGCCGGGACCGGTCCAACGGAGGCGGAGAGGGCGGTTTGGCTTCCCTCCTCCAGCCTTTCAGCGGTCTCTGCGCCATCGGCTTCCCGGCAGCCTTGCAGCCGCTGTTGATCGGGGAGAGAGGCGGCATCCGGGCATCCCCACCCCCGCCCCGGCCTCGCAACGGCAGCCCAGGGCCGAAGGAGAAAGGCCGTCCCCAGGCCAGGAGACCCGCCACGGTCCCCGGGGGAGCCGAGAGGCCGCGTTTGGCCGGCCGGGCAGGGCACGTGGATTCCCTCACCACCACCACCTCCTCCTCACCCGGGTCGGAGGAGGCGAGCGCTCCCGAGGGTGCGAAGGGCGCCTCGGAAGAAGAAGGGGGCCGCGCGCGCGTTCGCTGGGAAATGAGGAAAACCCGAGGCCCGCCGCCGCCGCCGCCTCACCTCAGGTCGCCCCGCCGGCTTCACAGCGCTTCTTGCCTCTTGAGCGGGCGCCCGCAGGCCCCGCGGCGGCCGACTTCGCGCAGAGCTTGGACCTTCCCGGCCGCCGTGGCAAACGCCGACGCCATCTTGCAGCTGTCCCAACCGGGAAGGGGAGGGGGGGGGAAAAAGAGGGCGCGGGTCAAGGCGGGGCGGCTTGAGGTGAGGCGCATGCGCGCGTGGGCAGAGCCGGGCGAGGCTCCGCCTGGCGGGCGTGAGGCGCATGCGCTTTGGCCAGCCCCAGAAGGTCAAAGTGGGGAAGAGGGGAAGATGGCGCCATGATAGGCGTGGCGGAAGGAGAAAGGTCCGGGGTCGCGTCCAAAAGGCTGGGCGTGCCCGGAGGCAAAAAGAGATTCCCGCCTGTAGCTTGCGGCTGGTCCCCCCGCCATTGCACACTACCGTTGGCGGGGAAGTTGTGCCTCTCTCTTCCACGTGGAAGAGAGAGTTAGTGGCGTATTGTGGTTCGGTATGCGGGCTAATGGGGCCCTCAAGGCCGCACATATCCACTTTCGGGAGCAGGGCAAGCGAGAGTCCTGCTTTCCTCCCCGATAATTGGTATTTGGGCCCGTCCGCTCCCGCTTCAGCCCGGCTATCGTGAACGGAGCGAGGCCGAGACGCGAAAAATTTGCGCTATTGGGAGGGCTGACAGCGCAAACCGCGCATGCGCAAAAAACCTTCCAGGGCGTCTCCCGATGAGCTGTTTTGAGGTGGGCGGGCATTAGACGGCAGGGTATGAAGTCGTCCGGCAGGGGGCGCTCACTCGGCAGCCGGGCAAGCCGGCCCCGCTTTATATAGAGAAGCAACCCGGGAAAAAGGGCCGCCGGCGCATGCGCATCTGCGCGAGCCGACGCCAAAGGTGGGGCCGGCCGGCCGCGGCCGCCGACAGGATAGGACTGGGCGCCGCGCGCATGCGCTCCGGGCGGGCTGGCGGCGGAGGGGCATTACAATGGAAGATGAGGAGGTCGCCGAGAGTTGGGAGGAGGCGGCCGACAGCGGAGTGAGTCCCGGCGAACGCCGCCGAGTCCGAGCGGGGCCCCGAGAGGAGGCGGACCCGTCCCGCCGGGTGGGATGGCGAGGTCGGGATGGGGCGGGGGGTGGGGCGGGGGGGTGGCGAGGCATCCCGGGTCGGCCGAGGCTCTTTAGGCCTCTTAAAGGGGCCGCGCCCCCATTTCACCCAACACGTGGTCTCGGAGCCACCGGTTCTCCCTCTGGGCCGGGGGAAAGGCTGCGACGCCGGCGGGACAGCCGGGTCCTCCCGGGCTCCGGAGGGACCGCGGCAGAGCCCGATCGCCTCTCGGCCTTCTGCAGGGAGGGGATTTCCTGCTTTAGCGGGGGAGGGGGGGTTGGGCTAGAAGACCTCCAGGGTCCCTTCCTGCTCTGTCATTCTGTATTCTGACAGCGAGCGCCCGAAGGAGGAGGGGGCTGCCCTCCGCAGCAGAGCAGGGGCCGATCTCCGTCGGGGCCGCTTCCCAAATGGAGAAGCAGCCGCCGGGAGCGGAGTCGAGCCCTTCCGCCTGCGGACGAGGGTGGAGACGGAAGAGCCTCTGTGCCCCGGGGGGGCTCGTGGCCCCTGGGATCGCTCGTCCTCCTCTGTCCTGTCCTCCCGCAGCTCCGCAATCCGGGCTCAGCCGCCTCCCCGTTGCATGGATCCCTGGAAGGGGACGGGGTGCCTGCATATCTGCCTGCAGATCCACCGGCAGGGCCCCTGAGGCCCCACTTTCTACGGCATTTTGGAGCCAGGGAGGAAATCCTTGGCTTAGGCAAGGCAGTCCTCGACGTTACGACCCAACCACGGTGCCCCGACCTGGATGTTGTCGAGGGAGGCTTTGGTTTTTGACCCGTTTTACGACCTTCCTTGCCGCGGTTGTTAAGGGAATCTGGCTTCCCCGTTGACTTGTTGGAAGGTCGCAAAAGGGGATTGCATCACACACACACACATGCAAAAGACACGGCGACTGGCATTAATATGAACCAGTTGTCAATCATCCAAATGTAAATCGCGTGACCTGTGGTTGTGCTTCAGCAGTCAGAAGTGTGTCCGCAAGTCACTGGTTTTTTTTTTGTTTTTTTTTGGTGCCGTTGTAACTCCCAGCGGTCACTAAAATGAACTGTTGTAAGTCGAGGACTGCCAGCAAAGTAAAAGGAGTAACTTCCTGAGAAGCCTCCATTCCAGGCTTCTATGCTGGTTTCTATGCGCCGCCCCTTTGGGGGGCTTCTACCTCTCTGCCCTTTGCAGGTGATATACCTGAGAAGTTATATCTTGCATGGCTTTGGACGGTTGTTTCCTTCTTCCCAGGACTGCAGAGCAGGGGCCAAAAGCACCCCCACCCCCTGCTCACCCTCATCCGTCCTTCCCAGGGAGGGAGGGAGGCTTAGCAATTGTCTGCCAGGACCCCAAAGGGAAGGTGGCTATGTTCCTACAAGCCCTCTCTTAGGGATGCAAGAGTTCCTGCCTGCCACTTCCAATTCCTACCCGACCCTTTTGAGTGAAGGGAGGACTGTGAAGGGCAGAGAAGCCTCTAGAATAGGGGTGTGACACAAATTGGGGTCTCTCTTGTGTATGTGCACATGTACACGTCGCTGCCTTTCAGACTTCTGGAACCTCCCATGCAGGTTTGACAGTCGCTTCCCATCCTGGTGTCTCCATTCCCTCCTGGGTAATGGATTTAGTGCCACCACTTGTTTCCCATAACCCTATGCAATCACCTTGCACAATTATTCTCACCGAATTTCGCCGTTGCTTTCTGTAATTTTTTTGTGACTGTACTTATTTGTTGCATTTATGTTGACACACCCCCCCCTCTCACTCTGTGAATAACTTTGGAGTAAGATGCTGGCTGGCTTGGCTGCTTCTACCAGCTGCAGATCATTTAACGGGGGGGGGGGGGGGGGGGAAATGCGCCAAGGAGGAACAGTCCCAAGAAAGTGACAGAGCGGGGCGGGGGGGGGGGGACGCTCGACACAGGAAATGGCGGTGTTCGTACAGGCGATCTGACCTGAACCAAGAGCCCAATTTTGGCCAATTGTAAAATGAACTACTTGGATAAGACGGGCATCTACCAAGGCGTGTTTGGAGTCGGCTGGAGAAGAAAACTCATTCAGCCCAAGCGAGCTTGCCTTCACTTTCAAAGATTAACTTGCCTTCCAGACTTTGGACTACAAAGCAAAACGCAGTCACACGTCAGTGGGGAAGCTACTAAGGGAATACCTCCCTTATTGCAAAACTAGTGCAGGACGGCCTCCCATCAGGGAAGGGCCACCAGAGCAACCATTTCCTACAGAGCCAGCAGCCTCAGAAAGTCGCCTTGGGCGAGCTGGGACCACGTCTCTGTTCTGGGGAAACGCCCCCACCCCCCACCCCTCGGACTCTGTCCTGGCAGAGGGAGAGTTGAGCCAACTGGCCAGGCTGTTGGGCCACCTCTTAGTGGCCTCGCTTGCTTGGAATGAGAGCAGTGGTCCCCCAAGTCTTAAGGCGGAGAACTGATTCTCATCTTTCTGGTTAGCGCTCTTGAACGATGACGTCCGCCCACTCCCTTCCCCATGGTTTTGACAGTGAGAATGACCAGGCATGCACTGTGCTCATGATGGTAAGTACGCCACTGGAAGTGGTCTTGGTCAGCAGGGCCAAAGGCGCGCCATCTCCTGGGACTCTAGCCGAGAAGTCCGTCTGATTCTCAGCTGCTGCCGATCGGGGCAACCTGCAAACCACCCGGGCTCTAATTTTATCTCGCTTGTTTGCTCAAATGCGAAGCATCAGCAGGCGCAGCTGCTAGGGGATCCGATGCCTGGCAAGAGCCCATTTTGATTCTGGGCTGTGGATAAGGTTCACCCTGGGCTCCCTTCCCAGGGAAGGCCTTGGCTTTCTCCACCTGAAAAGCAAAGGGTTGAGAGGGTCTTTCTCTCTCTCTCTCTCATCTCTCTCTCTCTCTCTCTCTCTCTCTCTCATTTCTCTCTCTGTCTCTCTCTGTCTCTCTCTCTCTGTCTCTCTCTCTCTCACTCTCTCTCTCTGTCTGTCTCTCATCTCTCCTTCTCTCCCTCCCTCTTCCCCCTCTCATATCTCTCCCTTTCTCATCTCCCCCTCTCTCCCTCTTATCTATCTATCTATCTATCTATCTATCTATCTATCTATCTATCTATCTATCTATCTATCTA